TCTCTCACGCACTCTCTCCTCCCTCTCTCTCTCTCTCTCTCTCTCACTCTCTCTCTCTCACGCACTCTCTCCTCTCTCTCTCTCTCTCTCTCTCTCTCTCTCTCTCTCTCTTTCTCTCTCACCTCTCCTTGTCATGTCTTTTAGTTTTGTGCATGTCAAAAGGGTGTTTGTCATTTGGAGGTTGGGTCAATGTACAGCTAAATAAGTCTTGTAGTCAGAGGCTTGGAGGGACTGCTGCATGTCTGCTTTGATCAAGAGATATTTGGTTTCTTTTAAGGACAAGCGGGCTTGTGACCTTATGCAGTTGCGAGCGCCGTAAAACCTCTACTAAAAAACAAGGGGGCTAACCCAGATTTGGGGGAGGGGGGGGGTGTTCCAGAAATCCTGACCTACACCAAAAGTTGGTATTGCCTTACGTATAGGAGAAGTTTGGTTTCGTTGGTGTGTTTATTTGTTTGATTATAAAAAAAAGACTCTCTTTGTCTTTTAAAGAAACTGAGTAAGGGTTCAAAAACTTTGTTTTAGATTTTCTCAAAACAGCATTTTTTGGGATAGCCTCCTTGTGCTTAAAAGCGACCATTTATAGTATCCTATATGATCTATGAATCTGTGAAATATTCATTATGACTTAAAATAATGTTTGTTCCATAATGCTGTACGTTCGGTCTTCATATCTTTCCTTTTAATATTGGCCCTCTGCCGTGGCTTAAAAGTAATAAAATTTTGCCGTAATCATGTGAAGCCCAGGACTCTGACCAAAGTGGATAACAATGTAACATTTCACTTACTAAACAACATAGCACTTCACTTACAAAACAAGCAAAACATTTCACTTACAAAATAACGTAAGATTTCACTTACCAAGAGTGACTAGTTTTCTGCTAACACTTACATCCACCACCCACCCAGTCCAACAATACAAAATACACAATTACACAACATCACACCAATACAGACAAGTAACGCACTATGTAATGTGCTGTTTTGTGTACTAGACGAGGAGAATCTGTAAAGAATATACATGCTGTGATCAGACAAACTAAGTCACACCACATATGTGAGGCAGCATGGAGAAATCAGGCACATGTCAAAATAATGAAAGTGGAGAAATTGGTATTTTCCCGCAGGTTTGATAGTTTTCGTTGAATTTTTTATTTTTGGCTCAACACCTTTCATGCCCATTAAAAATACATTTTAGTACAGATTTTATTGAAAAAAGCTGATTAAATGCATGACAGATGCAAATTTTCAGTTTCCATGGGCTCTCAAGCTAAGGAAATAACAAAACCAATAACTCTATTTGTCAAAAAATTGACAAGCGCCTGATACCACCAAGTCGTGACACATATATAGCAATGTGTGATGTCATCTTTTTTAACTTTACAATAATCATAATGCATGTTCCATATTTTAGCTCGCTTTTTTTTGGTATCATGTAGCTGTAGATGAACTCTAGCCGATTTACAGCAGTCAGAAAATGATGCATAGACAATGAGTTATGAACTGGGTGTAAAAATGCTTTGCTGTTATTTTGTTTTGTTTGTCAATGTTTTAGTGTGTGAAACGGCCTTCATAGTGTGGACAGATATAATCTCAGTCAATTGCTTTCCTAGTTACGCAATAGATGTGAGCAAACGGTGGCTTTGAATGTGATGAGACTACAAGAATGTGGACTTTGATGTAACAGTCAGCCATACGCATGTCACAAAAGACTCGAGTTTGGTCACCCTGTAGAGAAAAATAGTGGATGGTTGGCGGGTGCTCTGGTGTGGTTTGCTTCTTCTTTCCCATCAAACATCTATCGTCCTGATCTCCCCTTCTTCTTTTTTATGTTTGTTACTCTCTTGTAACACCTCTCATCTTCTGGCGCTCATTCGACCTTATGCAGTTGCGAGCGCCGTAAAACCTCTACTAAAACTAAAAAGCTAAAGAGAAAAATAGCTTATGGAGTATCTCCACATTTCTGCTCGAATGTGTCCCACACAGCGTGGATAGACGAAGTCGAGGGTTCTAGCATCCTCCTTCCTAGATTAGTGGATGTGTAAGACATTTCACGTACAAAGCAACGCAACATTTTTTTCACAAAACAGGGTAACATTTTTTTGGGGGTTTACAATTTGACCCTCACACAGCACAGCAGCTGATGCTACGGTTCATTGGGCTCATTAACAGTCAGTGTTCTAAATGCTAACTGTTCTCCAGAAGTTATGTGGATTGACCGTCAAATGGACAGTTTGCATGCTGGTATATTTGTTTATTAAATGGAGATTTTTTTGGGGCGCTTCGATGGCTCAGTTGTTATCCTGCTGGACTATGGAGGAGATGGCCTTGTTTCGAATCCCTAACGAGACATTCTGAGTTAGGGTTGTTTTGGGGAGTTTTTAAGGCTCTCCATCCATCTGGCTTAGTCCTGTCAGAGATGGACATTGAATCAGGAAGTCATGCCCCTTGAATAACCTTAGAGTGTTGAAAAGAGTATTAATCTGTTAAAACTGAACAATGTACAACATAATTATGTGCTTGGGAATTTTAAAAATTGTTTTAAAATTTAATTATCTGAAAAATGTGTGTCATAACAGCTGGCTTTATGTGTGTGTAGCCATTGATATCCACATTTTATGCTTATTTGTATATTTAAAGTATGTTTTTGTGCAGAGGTGATTAGATTGCCTGATTGCGAGGTGGGGGAAATAGCTGATGATGTATTGGTTGCTTTGATTGCATTTCATTTATTGTAGCTGCATTGCTAAAGGGTGCTTTTCTTGTGTGTTTTTTCTCCTTGTTTTGTCACATCTGTTTGTGTGTGTGTTTGTGTGTGTGTTTGTGTGTGTGTGTGTTTGTGTGTGTGTTTGTGTGTGTGTGTGTGATTCTTTTTTACCTGTGTGCTTTTCTGCTCTCACCCACCTGTAAACAATTGCTTTAAAAAAAATTCTATTTTTTTATTTATTTGCTGTAACTATCTGCTGGCGGAAAAAATATTTTTATCTATAACTTTTTGCTTCATTAACATAAAACGTCATCTTTTGCTTGCACCCGCCTCTGCTTTGGACTTTTCGCCTTTTTGTTAAATTTTTGGTGACTGCTGCAAACTACTTGGCTTTTAAAATTTGCTTACAAACTAACAAATTCTCTCTACAATTCCGATAAATTCTGTCTTTCTTGCTATTATTTAACTTGTTTTTCAAATTTGAACTAAAAAAATATTTGGGGTTTTGAATCGCGATCTGTGTCCTTTGGTTCATCTTTTTGTTCACGAAACCTCATATGGGTAACTCTTTGACATACACTTGGAATGGTCCCATGTACTTTTCTTTTTTCTGTGATTTGGCCATTTTCTTCTTCATTGTCCCGCATTGGTACGGATATTCTTCTGTCTGGATTCTATAATCAAACTTGGTGTTTGAACTTTCTGACTGGTGACCATGTCATTGTTTATTTTCTGCACCGCTATCACCGCATGCTGTTGTGGTCACTTCATCTCCTGACCTATTCGGCGGCCTTGACCTTTTTTTTTGTCTATGCACAATCACTGCGCCATCGTCGTTGTCTCTTCCTTTCTCCACCCCTCTCACCTCCACTACCTCCTGCCGCCTCCCCCCTTCTCTCCCACCCCACCTCCTGCCTCCCCCCTTCTCTACCACCCCACCTCCGCTACAACCTGCTGCCTCCCACCTCTCTCCCTCCCGCCTGGTTTTGTCCGCGTTTGTGCTGTTCTAAATGTGCCAGGAACTTTGGCGTCTGGGAGGTGCTGAGGGAGGAAGAGTTCTCCCCCTTGAAGAACGCAGACGGATCGGCCAACAGCACGCCCACCACATGCAGACACGCTCTGATGAGTCAGCACCACCGCTTTGTCCTGGCGGCCGGCGGGACGTTCATCCACAAGGACGGAACGCCGTACACAGACATACAGAGGTAGGTGTACGCGCACACGCTTTCTTTGCTTTTATTGCTGTTGTTGTCGTTGATGTTGTTTTTAAAGTCGTCATTTATTTGAAATTTTCTTCTAACCTCATTCACTGTTGTCACTGTGTTAATTTAACTTTTATTTCTTTGTTTTGCGTTTGTTTTTTTTAGTACATTTCGATTGCTCAGTGTAAGACCACCCTACATCATTTAGAAAAGAGACATAGGAGGGAGCCTTACATCGAGCAGTGTCTTTTTGGTACTTTTACCTTTTCTTTTCCCTTGTCTTTTTTTTTATTTTGTGTTTTTCCTTTATGTCGTTTCAATGTTGTGTGTTAAAGTTTTTCCAATTCACCATTTTTTTACTATCGCTTAAAGTAGCAGATTTCTATTTTATCAAATATTTTTTTACCTGAAGTTTTGGGATGCGCTGAGTACGCAGTTGCTATATCTCAATACACTTTTATAACAGCTGTCAATGTGTTCACTGTGAGCACCTTTCCTTTACTCTGTGGTTGGCATCTGTTGTGTATCCGATGGCTGTCTCTGCTTTGTTCTCTGCCGGCTAAACTCTTCACACAGCCTGTCCTTGACCTCTCAGAGACCACACTCTGTGCACTGCTTGTTCTGCCCAAGGCACTTCTGTTAGTTATTTGTTGCTGTTGTTGTTGTTGTCGTTGTTGTGGTTGTTGTCGTTAATGGTGTGCCTTTTGGTCTTGGGGATGGTTTAAGTGAGGACGCCACTGGTAGGTCCTCCTTCTTTGTTTCACTTTGTAGTTTCTGTTTGTTTCATCTCTTTTCTGTCTTAAAAAAAACGACAGTGGGTGGTTGGCGGGTGCTCTGGTGTGGTTTGCTTCTTTTTTCCTATCAAACAGCTATCGTCCTTATCTCTCCTCCTTTTTTTGTGTTTGTTACTGTTACTCTCTTGTAACACCTCTAATCTTTGGCACTTATATCACCTTATTGTGTTGCAAATGCTGTAGAACTCTTACTAAAACTAAAGTAAATGACAATTCTTGTTTCAATGTGCTTCTCTTTACTTATACAAAGAAACCTTGTGTTAGCACCTTTCCTGCACTATGTCCCTTTCCCTCGTGCACTCAATGACAGTGTCTGTCTTCTTCACCACCACCGTCGGCCAAACTGTTCACAGAACTCTTCCCTGACCACTTGGAGAGATAACTACTCTGTGCACTGCTTGCTCTGTCCCAGCCACTGCTTCGTTACACAATTGTTGTCGTTAATAATGCTGTCGTCTTTGGTCGAGTGACGGGTGGTTAGAGGGTGACACTGGTTAGTTTTCCTCCTTTTCTTTCCCTCGGTTACTTAGTTCAATTTTGTCTATCTTACTTTTTCCCAGCACTAAATGACCAGTATTGTATGGATGTGCTCCTCTTTACTCAAACAAATAGTTTGTCGTCTTTGTTGTTGTAAATGCTGTTGTCTTTGGTCTTGTGTCTTTCAACCCAATATTATGCTATAAAGTGTGTAAAATTTTATGGGTTATTCCCTACTACAGTGTACACTCTTGTTTAGGTCGTGAAGGATCAGACAAATTTTAGTACCTACTTACTTAATGAGAAGGTATTTGTTATTTTTTCACAAATGAAATCCTATTTTATGATTTTGGTTCAACAAGGCAAAGTAAACTCAATGATTAATTTGCTATGTGTTGGTAATATAGACTATGCACCTTTGTTTTGTGTGTTTTGTTGATCACGATAAATAAATAATTTACGAAAATAAATTTAGGTTGACATTTGGTGAAGACAGTTGTTTGAAGATGTCGTCAGTATTTAAATTTTAGTTTTAGTTCTCAGTTACTGTTGATGTAATTTTAAAGAATTGTTTTTTCTTTAGAGTTAGATATTCCAATCTGTTGATTTTTGCTATTGCAGTTGAGTTATTTAGATAAAGTAATTTTTAATTTACATATACATTGGAGTCCACTTTAACCAAAATCTGCAAGCCGCCAAATTTTCTTTGGGTTTTTCGGCTTAGAGAAGTTGCTCAAGCAGAAGAAAAAAAAATCATGGAATTTTTTTTTCTTTTGGTTTACAGCTATTTTCTGATTAACTGTGTTTTGTTTAAGCAGACTCCTCTGTACTTCTATGTTGTTATTGTGTTGACTCTTGTGCTGACTCACACTAACAGTTAACTCAGTCCTTACTGAGAGCATTACTGGTGGCAAACAGATCAGGGAAGTAATAGCTGATGTTTAATGTGAAGGAAGAAAAGGGGGGGGGGGGTTGTTGGTTTATTTCAATAGAAGGACATTTCCTACTGAAATAAGAATAAGTTGTGTGAGTTGTGATTGGCGAAACATGAAAATAGTATGTTTGAGTTCACGAGCGATGCCCTCTATGCAATTTCCTTGTACCTCATATTTTCCAAAACTCATTTTTTTTCACTATGCCATACTGATGTTGAAAAGGTGGAATTTTCTACTAATTCTCATCAAAGCGTGAAGTGAAACAATGAGAAGAGACACCAGAGGGTATTGAGACTTGTGCTGACACATGCTGGGTTTTTCAGGGGAAAGGAGCATAATTGACACTGACACTGCAAAGCAAAATTTATTTGAAATGATAATAATGATTGAACTTATATAGGGCATATCAATGCTCTACAGCATACTCTATAGAATGCTCTATGCGCTCTACAACTATCAAGAACTATGAACTTACAATAGTAATTGTATGCTGAGAGCTGATCCAGTAATCAGGGTGTAATACCATGTTAAGTAGCAGAAATAAATGTGTATCATTATTGTCTTCTTGTAAACTAATTATGAAGAAAGTTTTATTTCTTTGTTCTTTTCTTGAAAAAGGAGTGGGGAGGTGGAGGTAGATTCTTCTTTCTATGTCATAAGTCATGGTCTCAGTACCCTCTGGTAAGTTATTTATCCCTTTCCTGTGCATGCGCATGAGCCGTTAAATGTGTTGTGTTTGACATTACAGAAACAATAACAATGAAGAGAGTCACGCCAATGGGTAAGTTGAGTCTACGTACACACACGCGCTATATGTAGCGTACATACTAAGTCTTTGAGCACAGCTGCAAAGTAACTATGTATGTGGTTGGCAGGCGCTCTCATGCAATTTGCTCCTTCTCTCCTATGGAACAACTGTCCTCTTTCTTTTCTTTCTTTTCATGTTACTCTCTGGTAACACCTCTAATCTTCAGTATTTATTTGACCTAATTGTGTCGCAAGTGCTATAAAACTCTCACCAAAAAAAAATATAATAATTGCCCGTGCCCTGTTTTTACCAGCCAGTATTCCTGTGCTTTTTCTTACGTAGATAGCAACATGCAGAGCAATCTACTGTTAAGGTACGATTGTTTTAGATGGATTCACAGTCAGCATTGGTATGGTTTTGTATGGATTTAGAATTTAAAGAACAATGGTTGCCTGCTTCCTATTCTGTGGGCGGTTGGTGGGTGTTCTGGTGTGGTTTGCTTCTTCTTTCCTATCAAACATCTATCGTCCTTATCTGTCCTCATTCCTTTATGTTCTTGTTACTCTCTTGTAACACGTTTAATCTTCGGCACTTATATGACCTTATTGTGTTGCAAGTGTCATAAAACACTTACTAAAACTAAAAGCTCCCTATTCCAGCATGATGCCAATTGAGCCATTGATAAACACTTCGTGAATCACAATAAATGTTGTTAATTATGGGCGATATTGTAAAGGTTATGTAAAAAAAACTATCAATCATTTCAAGTCATTGACATCTGATAAGATTTAAAATTTGAAATAAGCAAGAGCCAAGGAGTTTTATTGTTTTTTAATAGGTATGTATTATGACTTCCTTCTCCACTCCTCCCCCCACCCCAAATACACACACACGCACACTCTCTCTTTTACACAATAATACAGTATGCATGTGCTAAGTCTTCCACATCTAGCACATGCACGTCATTTGTCTGCAAGAATGAACAAATATGTTGATTAAATAGAAAACACACATACACAAATTCAAATACACACACTCAAATATGCACGTACACACACACAAATATGCACATATATACACATGCACAAATACACACTCACACACAAATACGCACATACACACACATGCACATACACACACATGCACACACAGACACTCTCTCACTCTCTCTCACACACACACACACACGTACACGCACATACACACACACACGTACACACAGTGATATGAAATCAGTCCTGACATTTCCTTCTTCTCCCCCCCCTCCACCCCCACCTTACAGCCAACAGAGCCAGGATGAGGAGGACACCATCCAGTGTGAGATTTCCCCACTCGTCTCCTACTCCGGCGAAGTAAGTACATGTTCTCTCACACACACACACACACACACACACACATACGCACACACATTGTACACACTAGCACTCATTTACACATTCACACTCACACACACTCACATTGTACTCACTGGCACTCATGTACCCATTCACACTCACTTGCATCATTCACATTAACGCACATGCACATGTGTACACACCCTCTCATTGTACTCATTCTCACACATACAAGTTCACATACTTGCATAGTGCACATTAACACAGATGTACATGTGTACACACACTCGCATTGTACTCTGTACTCATTGACACATGTACAAATTCACACACGCTCTCATTTTGCACATCCCCATTGTTCACATAATACGCACACTCACTTTGTCAACATTCACACATGTACAGTATTGCGAGTGCCGTAAAACTCTTACTAAAGCTAAAACAAAGAGACATTTGATGTGCTTTAAATGTATACAAATAAGCAAAAAATGGCAGCTCAGCATGGTGCTTAAATGACCAAAATTGTGTCGATAGTGCCGTAAAACATCTACCCAATCAAATCAAGCAGCTCAGCATTTTTCTCTCTCCTTGCAGGATCTGGAGGATGTAGTGAAGGGCAAAAGCTTCCAGCCACCCGTGAGGTTCGAACTTGGACCCAACGGAGTTGCGGTCACTCAAGGGAGCAGCCAATGACCACAATCTGACAGCATTTCTGTAACATACCTTCGTCATCTGTAGTGTTGTAAATTATATTGACAAAAATATTATATTTATATATATATATATACATATATATATATATTTGCACTGTTTTTATTGTGATTAAGATCCCGGCAAGGGACGAACTTACATATATTTATTTGTGTTGGGGGTTTATGATTTTGTTTCGGTTACACTGTTCTTTCCACATTCTGCTGATTTTTTCATTTGCCCTCGAGAAAAACGGTTGTTTGTAGTTTCTAATAATTTTTAGGGCATTTAAGTTTGACTCAGGGTTCCATGTGTGAAATGAAATCTCTCCAGAAATTTGTATCCTTTTTATTCCAAAATTCAATGAATTCCATTCCGTTTATTGGTCTAGTCGGAGGTAATAACCATTGATTTCAAGATCTCCTGTAGAGTTGAACGGAAACAAAGAAAAGGGGATATGCTACATCTTTGGTCACTTAAAAAACATGTGTCAATAAATGTAACTGGGAATAAAAAACGAAGTAAGTTATTAATTTATCGTTTTGAAAAGAATATATCGTTGAACATAAATGAATAAGTACATGATTGAAACAGTAGTACAGGAGGTTGATAAATAAATAAATAGATGTATAAGTATTAAACAAAAAGTAATAAAAAGTATTGATTAATTATTATGGCACACACGCCATTCTTCCAGTTACGTCATTTCAACTTTCGTTTTTTTTAAAAACAACCAACCAAAACCAACCTATGTTGTCCAATGTTTTGACTACAGATTTTCCCTGCGGTATTGCTGAGCCATAACCTGCCCTTCATTATCGTTCGGTCAATACCATGAACACTGACACATGATGTACTATATATACTCGCCTATAACACGACCTCACGTATAATACAGGCGTTATACCGTACTGTACTTTGACTCCAAATTCGTTCCATTTTTGTTGGTTGCGCGTATAAATAGGGGCGAATTTCAGACATGCTGGAGGGGGGGGGGGGGGGGGGCAAGATGCGAGAAATCGAGCAGGCCGACTCATTGGACAACAGAAACAGTTTCTTACCTTAAAGAAATGTTGGTTATTGCTTGAGATTGATTTAATCTGTGAAAGTCCAATTCGGCTTTACTTTCACCTGTTCGGCGTTATTTTCACTTTGTTGAGCCCGATCCTGGCCATACGTCGTACGTATTTTTAGACTTTATAGTATAGAAAAAACTGCTTGTGTTGTAGGCGAGAATATACAGTACTGTTGTTTTAGGTTTGTTGATTTCATCTTCCAGTTTACCCCTTTTTTTTCCGCATGGACTGTAACTGCTGTGGGTTTGTTTTTTTTTGCTTGTTTGTTTTGTGGTATCTGGGTGTTGCTCCACTATGTAGCCTTCCACTGGGTTAGCTCATCAATACTTCTGTTTTAATGAAGATCACAGTTACCAATCTCAACCTTGTATAATTTATGCTTCAATGTAAATTTCATTTCAACAACCCATTCTATGGTTTATTCATGTCATGTAATATTTCGCGACCTCAGTGCTTTCTTGTCCTATCTCCGCCATTTTTAATAACAGTGAAAACAGTTCATAACAAAGAGCGAGCTTAAGAAGAAGTCACATTTTCAATGTTTAAAAAAAATGGAGGTAGGACAAGAAAGCAACAAGGTCACGATTTGTTTTTGTCCTTAGCTGAGCTAACAGGTTAGGGGAGATAACGTTTTGGAAGAATGGAGAGGTCAGGGTTCAAAAGGTCAGGCATTTTTAATTTTTCCACGATTGTACATGTTTACTATGCAGTTTGTTGTTCAGATGAACTTGACTAATTCCACAAACCTTTGACCTTATCATTGTTACCATATCCAAAATTGTCATGAAAGTTATTGTTCACCATTGGAAGAGTCCTACCCATGTAACAATTGTTGAGGGGGTTTTTTTTGTCTGTCTGGAGCAAATGAAGTCCTCTGGAGGCAGTGGCATAGTTAGTTACAAATTTGACCAGAGAGAGAAAGAAGTAGGAACAACAAGTGGCACCCTCCAACCACCCAAAACTGTGCTTGCGAATGACCTTATTCTTTATTTAGTAAGGAGTTGTATCTGTTCAAAATGAAGGTTTCTGGTTGTGTTGGGTGAGCCAATAATTACCACACCACTGTGGAATTTGACTCCCCTTGTTAGTATTGATTGGGTTTTAATCTCCCTTTGGTTCTGCTGTCTTTGTCCTCTGCTGGAAAAAGAAAATAAAGGGGGGTGTGGGGAGTACAGAGGGGAAAAGATGGTTGTGAGGGAAGGGGTGAAGAGACAAAGGAGGATATTGCTTCAAGTCTTTAGACACACGAAAGATATATAAGATATATACACATTTGAACCTATCCAAGACAGTCACATACTGTAGAGGAGAAAAGTGGTCATCTTGGACAGGTGGTCATCTTGGAGAGTGTCTTTAAAAGAAAAATCCAAGGTAGGAGGTGGTCATATGAACAAGTGGTCGTCTTGAAGAGGTGGTCATTTGTACAGGGGATTGGCTTGAACAGGTGGTCATTTGTACAGGTGATTGTCATGAACAGGTGGTCATTTGTACAGGTGATTGTCATGAACAAGTGGTCATTACAGCAGGTTCGACTGTGCATACAATGTAATGTGGCATCGGTGGCCTAGTGGTTAGGCTACCAGACTCGTAATTGTGAGGTTGCGGGTTCGGGGGTTCGAGGGTTCGAGCCGCGGGCCTGAGGTTGTGTCCTTGGAAAAGGCACTTTACACGAATTTTCCTCACTTCATTCAGGTGAGAATGGGTACCCGGCCATAGACAGCGAAAGATTTTGTTAGTATGTTAGTGTTTTAGCGCCTATAAATGGCTGCTTTCACTGTATGCTTCCCAAAAAGTTGAGGTTGTTTCAGAATTCTCTCAGGTCTACTGGGGTAGTAGTATAGATTGTGAAGCGCATAGAGCTTGCCGTTGGGTGGGGGATTTGCGCTAAAAAATGCTGTCTTATGAATGAAAAGTGAGTGAGAGAAGAAAACTGCCTCAAGCAACAGCTCAAAGTGAGACTCAAGCCTTTGTGCGAATGCGTGGAGAGACAGTTGAAGATAAAACATTCTACAACATGTTTAAATAAATAAATGAATGCACATGGTATATATATGTATGAAACTGTAATCATTCCACTGAGTAGAAACATGTTGTGGCTCAGTTTTCTTTAAAGACAGCGCAAGATCTTGTCTGTTTGTTGGTGTTTTTTAGCACATGTAATCGGCAGCTTGCACTGTGTGCTTTTCAGGAAGCCAAGGATGTTTCTGACTGTTCTAGGGTCTGCCAGGTAGTTGAAAATAGTAGGAAAGTACATTAAACATGCCGTAAAGCATGGATTTGCGCTGCGTAAGTGCAATTATTATTCTTTTATTAATATTATTATTATTTTTGTGTCATAATTATGTTTTTATGAAGGATACATAAAAGGGGTCTTTTAGAAGCCATTTTTCATAAGATTTTCATTCACTTTCATCATCAGTGCCCTTGTTTACCAGAAAACACATCATGTATATCATTAGATCTAGATCTCCTCCTCCGCTCAAACAGTCCGTATAAGTTCAATATGAGGGATTTCTATTTTATTCCTAAATCTTTCCGGTGAGAACAGAATGAGTTTGGTTGTAACTTGAGTCTCACTTTGAGCAAGGTGCTGCAAAAGCATGCTTCATTGTTTTTGAAGGAATGAGTTAAAATGAAAATGTTTTACAATTATTATCCTTGTGATCTGTTGTTGTTTGTTTTGAGGAGAGATGATCATGGAATTTGTTCAATCATTATATTATACGTTTAATAGTTTGTTATGAATTATTAATAATTATTATGTTTGCCCATGTTGCTTACTTTGTTGTGCCATGTTCTCTGAGAAGTGAGAAGAATCTATTGTACCGATGAACGTTGCTGAGTAAAAAAGCTTTTTCAGTTACCAAAGTAAATGCTTTTGTAATTACTTCTTTTTTTTTTTTCATGCCCTACTTATGAGACATATCGATAGTGCGTGGTACAAAATAATGAACCATGTCCAAAACTCTCTAAAAAACCAACTACTACTACTTGCATGTTGTGAAGGAGGGTCTTATACATCATCTCAATATCCAGTGTAAAGATTCAAGTAGAAATGCATGAAACATCGAGATATGAAATTTGCGTTGAAGTTGTCTTTGATCTATATTATGAAGCCTCTCCTGTACAATTAAGAGCTTTCCATCTGTACCCTACACCATCAATATGTCAAATGGAAGATTCCTCTCTGCAGAGATAAATTTCAGCTTTTCTGACTTTTCTCTTCTTTTTCCTTCTTTCTGGCTGACTGTGTAGGTCAAAGTTCAACTGCCTTCTTTCACCAGTTGTTTTTTTACGAGTTCTATGTTTCACATTTCCTCGTTGATTTCATAGGTGTTCAGGCCATCAGTTAATTTTGTTGATTCGGCTTTCACTTTGCTGTGTCGTGATTTTTTTTTTCTCGCACAAAACATCGATTTTACCCATGTGGACAATCCTAAACACCAAAATAAATCCAGTTGACTTGTGTGTGCTGACTGATATAACCCTATACAGTTCTTAGTCTGCCAGAAACTTTGTGGATTTCTACAACCAAAGTTCAGTTCATCACGTTATGCTCAGTAGAGACATTTGTCTTGGCGGCATGTTCATTTCACGGTCATGGGGATATATTATTTCTGCCATAACCGTTTATGCTCCGTCTTATTTTGGACATATTTCTACTGTAGACTTGATGTTCTATCTTATTTGAAACATAATTCAACTTTAGGCATTATGTTCTACAACTATTACTACTATACATGTTATGTTCTGCTTTAAAATTTGTTCCAGCAATGTGCCAAAAACTAGTATAGTATGGGCTACATACCAATAGCTGTCGGAGTGGTTCTGACTACCGTTATTCCCTTCAAAGAGAGCCCTTTGGAACTGAACTTTTTGCAAATTGCTGAAGCTTTAGATACATGTTCTCGGTTCGTCTTCTTTTACTCTTTATTGTTTTTTGGCCTGGTTGTTTTATGTATTTATATGTTGGACAGGCTCGTGGGATGGTTAGGAAATCTTAATGAAAATAAAAATATGTCAATTAAATTTTGGCTTGAAGTTTCGTATTATTTAAATTTCATCACATGCATCAAGAATTGTTTTTTCTGTTTTGTGATTTGTGGACATGTATTTGTGTTTGACTTAAGATCATTCTTTCCTATCAAACAGCTATCGTCCTTATTTCATCTCCTTCTTTTCTTTGTATGTTACTCTCTATTTTGCGCTCATATGACCTTAGCAGTTGCGAGCGCCGTAAAACCCTATACTATACTATACTATACTCTCTATTAACACCTCTAACCTTCGGCACTTGAATAACCTGTTTCTGTTGCAATAAATGCCATAAAACTCATACTAAAACTGAGATCATTCTAGTGCTTGCTCAGTACAGCACTGGCTTGCTGTGATAGCTTTCTATAAAGTGTTGTCTTTGTTCTCAGTCTAAGACTGAGACACAATAGATGAATGCAAGTCACAGGTAATACAATTCACATTAATAAAGACAAAGGGTATGTGTGTCAAGTGACAGTGTTGTGTGTTGTCTTCACTGACAAGAAGTAGGAGCTGACCTCACTCTGCTCCAGTGCACTTACTTTACTTTACCCGTCCTCTTGTACCTCAAGGGCCTCGAGGGAAAAAAGAGCTTCCTGTCTCTAGCTAGTTTGATGGCCTGGCTGGATGGGATATTGTTCTCGGGGTATCCTCCACACCCTGGATCCAGGTCTTTCGTGGTTTTCCTCTTGCCTTGTACCTTGGTACTTTACTGTTGTTGTAGGCTTTACTGTTACTGGCAAGCTGGTTAGATTAGATGTGAGATGTCCAAACCTCCTGATTATTATTGTTTGCCTTCAAATGTAGTAGAGGACAGGTGTTGTTCCCATAATTTCTCTAATCTTGTAGTTGTAGTTTCTGAGATTTATTGCTGAAGAAAATCGTAGTAGAAAGAAACTCCAGTGCACGTCGAGTCAAATTCAATACATCTTCTTCTTCTCGATCGCATCACACTTGAAGTTTTACAGCACTTGCAACACAATAAGGTCATATAAGTGCCAAAGATTAGAGGTGTCACAAGAGACTAAGAGAGTAACAAACACAAAAAAGGAGGAGAGATAAAGACGATAGATGTTTGATGATAGGAAAGAAGCAGCAAACCACATCAGAGCACCCGACAACCACCCGCAAAGACAGTTTCTAATCCCCCATAGGCTGTCCCCGTGGTTTTATGCACCCCGCATAATTTAGCAAAATTTTATCATTTTTTGCATAATTTCTGATTATTTTCCTTTATCATTCTTTGTTAAAATTAACAAAATCGCATAATTTCACATTTTTGGGCTCAATTTGCATAATTTCAGAATTTTTCTTACATAAAATGGTCGGGACAGCATAGGGAAGGATTTTCTTAAAATGTCAAAATCGAGTACGACTGTGTGATGTATCTCTTGATCTTTCTGCTGGGATAACCTTCTCACTCCCCTCAGGTTTTACAGAGAATAGAAATGAGACAGCCTCCCCAAAATAATTAATAGTGCCAATGGCAACATGGCAGATTTACAAATTGTGATGATAATCATATCAATTTCAATTACAATAGGTTTGGTCATTTGAGAAAACCAAATGAACATCTGTGCGGTGTAGTGGTTAGGTGCTTCATAATCACACACAGGCGATAAGATCTTGAGCCCTATGAGGGGAGAATTTTTATAGAGTACCCGTATCTTACTCCATCTTTCTACAGGGAAGTTGCATCTTTCTCATCCCAGGTTGGCCCTCAACAGGCAGGATCAAAGCCCACCTCCTAAATAATCTAAAATTGTGTTGACAGGGGCATAAAAAACACCAACATAAAATCATAAAAAGAACATTTTTTAGAAAACCAGGCGTTCCTCAACTGCACTGATAACAAAGCAAGCCTGCGAGTCAATTGATGATAACTTTATTGCACAGAACATGTTCTGACATTCCATCAGGTGACAGCCTCGGAGTGAAAAGTAACCAATGGGAAGCAAGTATTTTATTTGACTTCTGCTCACTCTACACTGGCATCTTGCACGTCTGTTCCAGGAGCTATCACAAGGAGACATCATGGCTGCAAACAAGGACAGTGAAAATTTCACCTGCTTCTCTCTCCCGTGCACACACATACACACATGCAAACGCACACATGTACACACATGATAACGCATACACACAGGGTGAGTGCCCTCATCCATAGTGTGTGTACTGTAAACTATACCTGGGTACAGGATGACGAGAGACGGGCGGGTGGTACTAGTATCTGTGAGTATATATGGGAGGGGGGGAGGGGGGTGCAGGGAAAACAGGCACTAAACTATGTTTGGGTTTTGGTTTTGTTTTGCTACAGTGATACCATACCATGGCATAGCGACGTATCTGACAAAATCAACATTTTTTGTTTTATTGGGTTTTTTTACACTGGTCTTGCTCATATAATCCTTCGTGTGTCAAAGGCAAGATGACATATCTACATCCAAAAACAGTAGCTTTCAAAGTGGTAAAGCTACATAAGTGACCAATTTCAATCCCATAGTCTATAGCAGCAGAGTAACGCATCTTCATTTCTAAACGCCAATGTTTAAGAGAATTCACTTCACAACTTTAACAGATGCTAAGAATTCAAAGTTATTTTTGCATTCATCTAAAAATCATGAAATGCGTTGTTAGAACTCTCTGCTTTTGAAGGGCAAAGCAGTCACACTCAGCCTATTTACTAAAATGTTCGTAGTGTGCGCACAAGAGCATAAGGTCCCGTTTTTGCACAATTTCATATAACGTTTCAGTACAGTAAACCCCTGCATTTTTCCAGACACCAAAATCCCTAAATTTCAAAGTCATCCTACCTTTGGTGCATGCAGCACACAATAAATTAATGATTTCCTCATCTAGGAAAAAAAAAAATTGAGAAAAAAAAAACCTGTGCCGAGCACTACTGGCCTGCGTGTAGTAAGAATAATTGGCTCAAAAAAACGCCACTAAAGCAATTCACAACCAGATGTCAGTTACTGGAGACAGCGGACATAATGTAACAACTGTCATTATTATGTAAGAGAAGTTCAGCTCCTGAGCCGTCAGCACACAGCCTCGCTATACTTATATTAAACGTGAACGCCAGTTCTATAAAGATTGACGGCAGAATGAGAACAGTGAAAGTCCGTCCAAAGACTGATTGTAGTTGTAGGAAAAACTCTGTGACACAAATTACAGAAAATTACAGAAAGGGTCCAAGGCGTGAGAACATAACGGTCGAGTCATCGTTCACAGAGAGCCAACCTGACAACAAGCCACACTTTGCAAACGAACAAGAAGTTAATTGAGAAAAAGAGAAACATTGAAAAGAAGTAGAAAAGGCAGACCACACCAGAACACCCTTCGACCACCCGTTCACCATGTCCTTGAGCTGCGAGGTACCTGAAAAGAGGAACTGATTGGCCTACAAGAACATAATATATTATGTACACATCTGCGACTACAAACTAATCATCTTGACCCCCTTTTTTTCGATTTAGAATTTCCATCATAACATCGCAGCTGTCATCTTTTGCTATTTGGAGAAAAAAAATTTGTTGGAAAATAGCGCTTACCCGATGACTGAAGCAAAAGTGAAAATGTCTCAATAATTAGATTTTCAGTTCACGAAGCAAAGTCATGCTGTGTTGAGGGTAAGAAACACTAGTATAACAGGCATTTTTACCATACTAATAATTTAGAAACCTGAAAAAAAAAAATTGATTTGGGCGACTGGTTGTGACCATGATGATAAACAAACAACAATTAATCATATCTGTGTCCATATCAGACAAAACCAACAGGGGATCCAGTCCTTATATCTCCCTGCATCCATCCAGCCACTACAAGTACAAGCCCCCGACACAACAGTGTTTCTTTGTAACAAAACTCCACCTGCACCACCAGCATTTCATTAGGAAATAATTATCAAACACGGAGGGAAAAAATTGATATGGAAAAATATTTGTGGCACAAACGACTAGCCCTGTACATGATTGTGTCTCCTGTTCAAGATGCAAAAGAGTATTAGTATTTAAAAAATCTTCTTTAAGAAGCCTACCTATTTTGTTTGATTCAACAAAACCTTGAACAATTTCATACGAGATTTTTTTTTAAACCCCAAGAAAATTTTTGACAATGAGACTTCCAGCAACTCAATGTAATTTTGAACACAAACACACACAAAAGAGAGAGAGAAAGAGAGAGAGAGACTGAGAGAGAAAGAGACAGAGAGAGAGAGGGAGAGACAGAGAGAGAGACAGAGAGGGAGAAAGAAGGGGGAGAGGGAGAGAGAAAGAAAGAGTGAGGGCCAACATACATCGACTCTCAAGGCAATTTGAGACAAAAAGATCCAGCAGCATAGCAAAGAGTCCCCCATAATGTCCAACACGAGTCTACACACACACACACAGATTCACATTCACTACTGCACACAAACAAAGATTCTAACAAAATCCCCCCTGACAACTTGCCGTCAATCCTGTCTTTAATCATGCAGCAACTTGGTCCTTTCTTTCTCCAACTGGCAGACGATGGCATGACAACCTGGCACCTTAGACAACTTGCCAGGTTTCTATTCACACTAGTATGCCAGTCGCACAATAAATTTCAAACACACACATGTTAACATTTTAGGACAAAACAACTCGATCAACGGAATGGAAAAAAGCTGGATCACATTATATTTCTGCTCACATAAGAAGAACTCCTCAAAGCTTTTCAAAGACAAATGAATCATTAAATATTACAAAAATTGTACAACAGCATCAGCCAAGCAGCCGCCCACATACCACACGCTCACACCGTGTCCGTCCATTCATAGTCCACACCAGCTCGCTGCCACAAACACTTGGACACGACACACAAGTCTCAAGCTCGCAAAACAAAACTTATTTTTAAAGACCTTTTTTTTTTCTTCTTTCTCCTCCCTCCCAAATACCACAGAAAACTCTGTGAGCCACACATTATAATCCTCAACATTTGAGTAGTCTGTTAATAACATGACATAAATAATGACATGTTTACAAGATGGCAGACCCGAACACACAGGACTCTCATATTTTCTGAAAAGATCCGCCCTCGATCTTCACTGCAGCACGCAGCAGTGCGTACGGAATTATTGAGTACATGCTATAGTATACAGTCCACAAAACTAGAGTAACATATCAAGGAAGTAGCAATCAAAAACCCCTAATCAAATTATGTTTCTGTGACATACATTCCATAAAATGCACCTGAAGGTATGTACATGGATAAATCAGGAGGCCCCATCAGTGCAGACGCTATGCCAGCATCTCTAGAGCACAAGTTGACAGAACACAAGTTTGTTGGACGTGGTTTAGGCAACGCCCTCCGTATACATCCACATTTTTGCATTTTGTTCGCCGACCATTTCAAGAGCAAATCACCCACCCACACACACATACAACAAAATCACAACAGTTGTCTACCTTCGACTTCAACTTCTTCACTGCTGAACTGTTTCTCTTTATATGAAGTAGGACCATGATAACATGTCTGTTCAAAAGAACTAAAAGCAATGTAATAAATGTTTCCACTTTACCCGGACACTGAAGCACTGCGCAAGCCACAAAATGATTACATTTTCTCCTACCACATCCCATAAATACCTTTATTTTTTTTTTTAATAAAAAATTTTCAATCAAATAAAATTCAATCAGATTTTTTTTAAAAGCTTTGAATCCGTTTTGATAAAGATGTGTACGGATAAACACGCACACAGCAGTGAAGAGGTCAAAAGAAGCAAAACTAATCTCTACCTACAACAAAACGCTAGTCAGAACACAAGGCAAGAACAACATTCCTTCTCCACAGACGCTCCCCACTGTCCGATCCACCACGCAGCATTTTAAGCAGTTTTCAAACGTTTCGGTCACACTCACACACATCATGATCAGACTTATATACAGACAGCGGTGTCCACCTACCAATGACTACTGTTGTCCGACCGTCGTTCTAGACCTGCCTGAACAAATCTCCCACTCGACACCCGAGACACCACAAATAGTTCATCTTTCGCACTCCATCCTCAATTTGATCACAGACTTCTTCGTTAGCCACAAAGTTGCATGGATATTTGACATTTTCTAGACGTGCACCCTTGAAGATGTCTTATGTCAATCTCGTTAGGAAAACACGCCTTCATTTTGGCTAATAAAAGCTGAACTCTCAAGAGTAGCAAAATCGTAGAGCTAAGCCAAGTAGTAGCACCCAAACAAAGTCATGAAAATTGGTGTGTGAATCGTGAACTTCTTCTCTCTTCCCACATGCCCATGGCTTTCCCATCCACTAGATTTGAACTCATATCATTCAACTGATTTGATTAAAGAGATGGTATTTGAATTCTTATACAAGCTACTAGTTAAAAAAAATAAATAAGCCAACAACCCCTCCATAAAAAAACCCTCTCACATGCTGAAGCCATGTGGATACACAAGGCATACAATAGTTTCCAATTTGTGAGTGCACAAATAAACCCAATATCTAGAAAAGCATTTGAGTATCTCTATCCCCTCGACGGGACCTGCTCCCATTCAAAAATCAATCTACACAAAAATCACTCTTGAGCATTCATTCAAACAACTCGACATTGGTATCATTTCTCCTCTTCGTCATTTTCATCCTCCTTTTCGTCCTCCTCGGCCTCTTCGTTCTGTTGTCGTTCCTGCTGTTGCTGCTGCTGCTGCTGCGCTGCTCGGGCACTGCTCCCGTCGGACAGTAAGGAAGGGTTGTGATGTGACAACGCCGCCTGGTAGTTCTTCCTCACTTTGTCCGCTCTCCGGAAGATGGTGATCTCCTGGGAACAAGTTTTGAGTTTGAGTGAAGAGATGAACACTGGCACAATAACAGTCAGCTTAAGTTTTAGTAAGAGTTCTACAGCACTTGCAACACAAAGAGGTCATAAAAAAGCTGAAGATTAGAGGTGCTATTAGACTGTTTTAGTTTTAGTAAGAGTTTTACGGCACTTGCAACACAATAAGGTCATATAAGTGCCGAAGAACCGCCCACGCTACTAGACTGTAACATACAAAGTAAAAAAGAAAGAGATATAAGGATTATAGGTGTTTGAGAGGAGAAACAAGAGCGAACCACACCACAGAAACCGCCAACAATCCACTAATAATAGTCATTTATGATTTATTGCATGGGGGGGGAGTAAAAGGGACATAACAAAACAGAAAAAAGAAAGACCTATCAGTGGCTACCTCCAATCACCTGCTTGGAAACAAAACACAGCGGTTATAGAGCGCCCATTTAGTATCGGCTGGCGCGAGGCAAGCAAGCCCGCACTTCCCCAGGTCACGGGGTCATTTACCTGCGCCGCCGGGGATTTCCCTAATCAGCCGAACACCGGCAGCGCTCTTGTATTTTTTGCAAAGTTTACCAGCACAGTGAGCCAAAGCTAATGTAAGATGAATATTTTAATAAAGACCACGTAAATATTCAACATATTAAGGAAGAAAATGAAGAAATCGGAAGAACATGGTACATTACACTTAAAAGCTGTGAAGTTCTCAAAAAGTGGACTTAATTTGATAAATGTGTCATGGGTAATCAATTATAAACATCGATTTAAATATGATTGCCCCCAACGAATTCAATCAAATTTGGACACAGGACTGAGAACATGATGAAATTTGTACTGACAAAGGGGCATATGCACGAAGTTTCTGGATCCGTAATTATTCAGGTTTGAAGCTGATTTTTGCAATACTCTTGCTTTGCGACCTTGTTTTTATAGCGATATCCACGATACATGTAACTACAGGACAGATCTTTCTTGCCGATACACTTATGAAAACACAACCTAAACACAAAATACAAAAAGAACACAATATTGCTGGACTGGAGGAATTATCTCATTTTTCCGCTGTAAGCTTTCGCCTTTTGATGGGTGGTGCACATGACAGAGTAGCTTAGGGCGGGTTTGGACGTGTTGTGACTGCATGATTGTTTTGACGTGTTTTTCTTTGTCTTTTAGGCCACGGTTGCATGAATGAGCTCACCCCCTTGCTCACAATGGAAGGCCATTCCAAACCCACATTTTTGTATCCAAGGAACGCAGTGTTTCTCAAGGATGCGTTGTTTGGGGATGACCTTTTCTTTTGATCTATTTTGATTGAGTAGCACGTGTTTTACGGCACTATCGACTCAAGACCTTTTATTTGCCAAATATGTTTCTGTATAAAGACATATATCGTGTGATGCATGACTGAATATGTGGTATTCTCTCTAAAGTGATTGGCTTTCCATGTGCAATTACTGTGTGGATATCTTTGAAGGTGTCTTTTACGTGAACAAATTTCTCTCTCAGAAAAATTAATGCGGTGTCTATTATGCTTTGATTTCGTGTACATGCAACCGTTCCTTTTGCTAAAAATTATGCTAGCTGTCTGTACACGGCTGTGATGTATTTATGGCAGTGGTTTCCTATAAATGAACGGCTGTGGTAGGCCTGTGGTGTGATGTTGTTTTGTTTGAGGATGTTATCAAATTCAGAGCAGGCAGGACTTGACCTTGGAATAAGCTCCTCAAACTCTAACTCTGACAGCTGATCATGTACACTAGAACCCTTCCTCTCAAATCTCTCTGCTTGTCGTGGATTATCCGACAAAATCTGACAGCCCTGTAACAATTGAATGTCCTCCTCGTTTTTTTCCAGCCCTCTTTCATTTTTTGCCGTAGATATGCACATTTTGTCCAATACAGGCGTGCAATTCTCCATAGATTGATGGACCAGCTGTACATCTATATCATGTGCGGCCTCCTCAAGAAGGCGATGATGTTTGAGCACAATGCCCACCATATGATCACGTTGAGTGTGGCACTCCATGACAAAAATATTGTTAAAAATTACAACGAAAATCAGATGTAGTAGAGGCAAGAAAACTAAAAACAGCAAGGATGAATGTTCAGAGTGGTGGGTTGGTATTTTTTTTTAAATCACAGAAAATCATTGAATAACGTCGTGCATTTGAAACTTGCACATGTAAATGAAAATTGTCACCACAGTTGATACATGAATTTCAGTTTAAATCGTTGGGGGCCGGATTGAAATATTTAAATCCAAACTGAAAAAGTTCTAAACATTGAAGATGCCAGTTTGAAAATCACAGACTTACTTAAATCCCTTGTAAAACTGATATACTCGGACTTACAAGAAAACAAGTTATACCGGCTTACAGGTCAAACATAGCACGTTACAATGAAATCTCAATCGGCCTTGTAGCATTTATAGTTTCAGAGTTAGGAGGCTTTCAATTCGCACTAAAACGCCATATTCACTACTGCCCCGGCACAGGAGAAGTGGTGCTGCGGTCACCCCAATTAACCCCTCTGACAAGTGATTTATGACTACGCGCTGGGCTGTCGGGCGGGGCGGGCAGGGTGGTGAGGATGGTCGGGGAGGAACCGGGGAAGGAAAACTAAGTGAGCGGTCTGGACGGTACTTTATCCGCTGTGAAAACCACAATGGGTTGACCAATTTATCCATACAACATATTTTACAGGGAACAAAGACCATTCCCTATCTTAAAATTACCAATCATTTGACATAGTTTAGTTTTTTTAAATTTTTAGTAAGAGTTTTAAGGCACTTACAACACAATAAGGTCATATAAGTGCCAAAGAATAGATTATGTGTTACAAGAGAGTAACATACCATACACAAAAAAGGAGGGGAGATAAGGACGATAGGTGTTTGATAGGAAAGACGAAGCAAACCACACCGGAGCACCCGCCAACCACCCACACTTGACATAGACAATGGGGGCATCACCCATCCCGACAAAATCTAACATTTGACATACTAGGCCATCAACTTTTATCTGACATTAGTTGTCGGCACATCAACTTGCATCCTCACATCTATACCACTCCAGATATTTAATAGAGACCACAATGCCATACATGGGTCACTACCTGTCGTTTGATATAATGCATTACCTTTTGTTTTGTTCATTTTGCTAATCTAGCACGCACATAACGAACAGGCACACAGCAAAAGGATTGTCAGGTCCAAAGCATTTTCTTAAACATGTATCTCACAAATGCTCCACAAGGAAAAGAACCTTGCAGTAGCATTCTGTTTTCATGAAAGAGCTCCTAAATCAAGATGATTCAAGTTATATAGCATTTGAACATGTATATAAAGAAAAATTTTGTACATGATGAAAAGATTTCTGCGTCCCTCCAATTTCACTATGTGCATATTAGACTGTATTGCCTTTTGTTTTAACCAGTATTACCTGTTGTTTAAAGTATCTCCTCTCCTCCTCGTCCACCAGCACCAAGTTGAGGTAATATCTCACAGAGAATTTTTTGTTGATGTCTCTCATGGTGGGGGTCAGCTCGTAGCCGCTCAGGAACAGACGGATGGGAATGGACTCGCCTGAACGGGAAACAAGACAACAACATCGTTGTCAGGTTGCAGTTAACCGGACAAGTAAGCATGACAATGGCTATATTTTGTCAGGCAATGTATTGAAATAAGCATAAATAATTGTCATAAGACGATTGCCTAAATAATTTTTTGTTTTGAAAAAAAAATGTTTTAATGTTGCTTCCCGGTACCTGAATCCTCATTTTTACTTGAGCAGAAAATTTTTTTTTCAAAAATTGAATTTTCTGCGCACAAGACTATACCCTGCCATGTAGAGGATACAACACTAGTAAACCAGCATTTCTACCAGACTATTAACTAGAAACCTGACAATGAACAAGAGAATGACATAAACACTGACGGTGCCAGCAGAAAGCAAAGGGGCAAAGAACAACTGCAGAATTATTTCCGACTCGCAAATTATGAAAACCTTTCCCCACAATAATAGGCACTACCCCACTGCATTACACAGACAGACCTCTTGTAACACAAAGCTGTATTATTTGCTTCAAATCAAAATTAAATCTTTTGTTTTGTTTTGTCTAAAGAGAAGCACATTGACCTTTTTAACGGCCAGTAGGAGCAGAAAAAAGCAAAATGGATAGGAACAACAGAGTGAAAGAAAAGAAGCAGGACCTACCAATGGTGCCCTCCAACCACCCGTAAATCTTTTGGAAACTACAAAGAATTCGTTATTTGAGAACCCTGAACCCTTTCGGCATGAAATAAAGAGATGTACACACCACAAAATATATTGATGGTATTATGCTGTGTCCACGTAAGTGGAAGAAATAGGTCAACTTTCTTTTTTTTTTTATTCTAAAACCACTGCTGAGATCAATCGGCACGTCCTCAAAGAAAGTCTGGAATCAGCGTGTTCTATAAATGGTATAAAAGCACTGTGGGTTAACGAGTGCCTACTCTCATCATTGTAATCAGAAAGGGTTTGTCTTTTTTGTCTGTTGGGAAATTGTCAAGAAACCAGTAACATGGTCAGAACATAACAAAAAACACATACCTCTGACAGGAGCTCCGTCCATTATCTCGTATTTGGCTATTGTCTCATTCTCGTTAAATGTGTTTGGACCTGAAACCAAACAAGACAGTTTTAACAACCAGATGGTTTCATTTCCATAGGAACTGACAAGGCATTTCAATGTTTTAAAAGAAGAAATGACAACTAAAAATGACAATTAAGACTCTTATTGAAAAGATATAGTTTCCACAAAATATGTTTAATGCAAGCAAAATAACCACAGGTATTCCAATCATATACTGTAACACCAATATCTGAAAATTTGACGTATGTGAACAGTACCTCTTAGACGAATATGTTTCCGTAAGTTGATAAGCCATACTGACATATCATTCAAGAAAATATGCAAGTTGAACTGGTCCACTGGACAACAGAAATAAATCTCTTTCCTTAATAGTATTTTAACTTTTATCAAGAGTAGTGTCCCTTTCTTACGACTGACTGTGTCGTTTTGACACAATTTAGTCGTGAAACCTTTCTTGATAGTATAATGAATCTTTTTTTTTTAAATCAAGTGATGATAATGTGTTCTTCAGATTCCGTGTCTCTCCCTTACAAGACATGAAAAATATCCCACTTCTGATCCAATTCACCATTTTATTCGTGTCAATAATGAGCAAGAAAAATGCAGACAACTGCAATAAGAGAACTAGAACTTAAAAATCAAGGAAATAGCAGGAAAAAGTGAGAGAGTGGTTCTAGCAAAGTTATCGAAACATAAATATAAGATATTATAAAAGACATGGAAGAGAGTTTAACAAAAGCAGCGAATCAAACTTTTTATTGAATCAAGTTTAGAAAATGCTCCAAAGTCACTTCAAATGAACCTTAACACTGTGAGCTGACCAAAAAAAAATGGTTACTTTCGGGGGAAAAAAAGTCAACTCAGAAAAAAAAAGTTTACCTGAAAGTACGGAATCTACCTGACCTTCAAAGAAAAGAACCAAAAAAGATGTACCACAAGGAGAATTGCTCAGGGAGAATGGAAAAGATTTTCCAAGAAAACTCACTGTAAATCTTATAAACAATGGGGGGGAGGGGGGAGAGACTCACAAATGCTCCACAAGGAAGAGAACCTTGCAGTAGCATTCTGTTTTCATGAAAGAGCTCCTAAATCAAGATGATTCAAGTTATATAACGTAGTATTCTTCCGTATAGATGTTTTTCCTGTCTGCTAAATGACATGTTCTCTCCATCACATTGTCTTTCAAGTCATATAACTTGTTCTCAAGCAAATATATAAATACCAAACCCATGTTCTAGCTTGATATTAGAAAACAAACATGTTACTTTTACTGGTGGCACATAACAGAACTTCAAAATTTGGAAGTTAGACTGATCTCTTTTGAAAAGTATGTGCCTTCATGATAAAGTAAAAACGATGGACAACAGTCTTATTATTTTTCCATGCATAGTCCGAAATCTCAGTGAAATCACAATAACCAAAACGTAAGTGTCATGATTAGATGAAACATAAAAACTAACACTTAATTGGAAATCAGATTCTCAAAATTCTTGCTTTTTGCTCAGAATGGAAAGGATATCTTTCAGTCAGTAGTAGTTATGGTTTAGGTCAAGATGAAGTTTAACAAAATAAACGATCATTAAGAACCATAACTTTGAAAACTCATCTCTTAAATACTCTGTGCTGTTGTCTGTACATTTTCATAAGATTTGAAATAAAAGTAAAATTTCAAAATTCCCGTTCTGGTTTCTTCACTTTAAAAATAAAGTTCCAAACATATATCAAAGGAATATATCCATTCTGCTACCGAATAATTAACAGAAAAAAGAGTAAAGTAAGAATAGCCAAACAAATTGTAGCAGAAATTGTTACCTCAAGTAAAACAAAACATTTTAAATATGATGTTATATTATAGATATCAGACGATAAAGTAAAAGAATATGCCCAGTTGAGGAAGAAAACCAGAGTCATCCACTCTGCAGTGTCGATATTGGCGTTAAACTTTTACAAAATGACAATGAATAACTACAGTCAAAGGAAATATAAAAGACCTTAGCAGCCTTCCCCCAGTACAGAAGACGGGTTGGAAAGAAATAAAGAGTTTGAACAAAGAAAAGCACATCAACGCAATAACTATCATTTAGTGCTGGGAACAAGCAAGATAGATAGAAACAGCAGTGGGGTTCACAAAGAAGTGGGACCTACCAGTAGCACCCTCCGACCATCCACAGAGAAGCAATGAGACACTACAGCCTAATACAACATTACAGGGCCTGACAGGTAGGAAAGAGGAGCCAGGGAACGTGAATTAACCATGTCCGCATGACACGAATTTTGCCCCTGGCCTTGGCCCAGCAGTTCACAAAAGCTTCTTACAATCTAACCAGCACAAGATGGATAATCTCAAGCAGGAACTATACCACAAGGCAAGCTTAACTCCCACCAAGGGCACCTTACGGTTGACACACTTAACCACAGCAAGGAACTTCACTGCTCTACTAAAACGGATAATTTCGACAGACCTAAATAATTTCTAAAACTGTTTTACCCCCCCCCCCTCCCAAAAAAAAAACCACCAAAAAAAACAATGATCAGTTAAATTTAAAAGACAGAAACTTCAACCCCCTATTGTTTGTAACAGTCCCACTGACCCAGTTAAGAATATTCAAGTTCAGAGGCAAGCTCCTTGCTCCCATAAGTCAAGGCCAACCCGTGCTGAGAGTTGAGGGGTACACCACTACTGATATTCGACAGTTTCACTCAATCAAAATTAGTCTTCCCCATCTCGAAATCACACCTATTTAAGTGAAAAACTTAGTCAACAAACCCAGATTTATGCTTCTTTGTCGTAGAAAGGACGTTAAATTAGTGCATGTATTTCAATATCAAAAATAGCTGACAAAACACCCTCATGCGGGAGAAGTACAGTTTGTGAGTAGAAGAGGAGCAAAGGGATTAAATATCTCACACTCGACTAAAATCATAGATCGGATAAGATGATATTCATCTAGAAAATGCAGAGATCTCATTTTACTTGCTCATTTTATAAGAAAAATTACAACTTCAATACTCTACATAGTTCGAATCACCTGAGAAAAACTCGGATAAATATTCCACAGAACATACACACACACAAAAATTAAAAAGGAAACAAAAATAACAGCAAAACCAAAAGAAAGAAACAGAAAAGCACAAAGTCAAAAAAACACAGCGCAACAGAAATTGGGGGAAACTAACGAAGGTTGTTCAAATCAACACAGAGAAATGCTCTTCTGATTACGAGCAGATGTTATTGTGTGTACAGATCACATGCTCAGTCTTCAGTTACTATGATGTGCACAGCAAAGGCAAGTTCTTCGTAGCCACTAGTATTTGCAAAAGGTTGCAGAGCAGTTCCAGCAGACAAGAGAAATTAACTATAACGGAACAGTGAATACAAAAAATTGTTTACCGTAACGAGCCTTTCTACTATATCCTGGAAGACAATCGGTAGAAAGACTGCTACTTATTGGTTCGTTTGTTTGAGTAAGGAGAAACACATCAGAACAACAATTGTCATAAGTACGGGGGGAAAGTAAGACCGACAGAGAGAAACTACAGAGGAGGAGTAGAGGAGCAAAAAAGAAAAAGGAGAAGAAAATAAAAAGATCCTACCAGCAGCACATTCCAACCACCTGCAAAGACCGCTATATTTCAGGAAGACATTTCCACAAAGCTGAACTTTAATAACTACCTCTTCACACTTGTCACTGCTACTAGAGTCCTTATCTTCATATTCATTTCCCGGCCAGGTTGAGTCTTCAACCCACAGTGCAACAGACTTACCCATGACATTATGTCATTTTGCTCTAACCATAAAGTGGAAGAAATAAGCCAATAGTTCTTTTGTTCTAAAGCTATTATCAATCAGCTGATCCTCAAGAGGAGTCAGCATGCACTATAAATAGCATAAAAGAACTGTTGTCCTCTATCATCCTTTCAATCCCAACAGTTAGTGTTATTTTCTTTTTGGCGAGTTGAACGATTTTCAAGAGATCAGTTACCTGGTTAGAGCATAACAACATTGATACAAATCCACGTCATCAACAAGAAAGTAGTGTCCCTTATCTTTCATATGCCACAACAAAAGATACTCTTACTATTTATATATGTTTAACTGAAAACTAAAAATTGACTCCCTTATGGTGAACTCGATATCCATGCTCAGTTTCTGTCACTTTTCTAACTTCTTCCGACAAGAGCTAATAAACGACGGAAAATAAAAATAATACACTTCTCCAGCATCAATTACACCCAGATAAGAAACAAAAGTTAAATCTCATCAAAAGTACTTTCCAGGTCGTCAGAAGGGCACAGACGTTGAATTATCAGCAGTAATTCCATTCTAAAATTTCAGGAGACTTGAGATCCTCCAGAGTTAGTAAAAAAAAATTTTTAAACAACAAAAAGTTTACGGGCAAAATGCACAAATACAGTCGAAATTGTGCCAGATGGCCACCCATTGTTAAGGAGAAAAGTAGCCATCTTAGACAGGTGAACGTCTTATAATATAGAAAAAAAAATGAAAAGGGTGTAAAGTGGGAAGTGATGTTTGTACAGGAGATTGCAGTTTTGGACTGGTGGCCGTTAGAGCAGGTTCGACTGTAGCAGAAGACACACACAGCCAATATCAAAGACACACAGAGCACCAGAAAAAGGCAAACAAAGCAAAAATGAGAAAACATCCACAGACTATACAGGCAAGGGAGGAAAAAATCAAAACGAGAAGATAAAAAAATGTTTTTAAAAAAGTTCCATTGAAGGAACCACTACCTGCATCAGTGTACGGGGTGGAGTGTTAGCAACATGGGAGGGTTAGGGGAGGGGAGGGGGAGAGAAGAAAGGGAGTGGGAGGGGAGTGATGAAGGGAGGGGGC